TGTCAATAATACTTTTGTTTTTAATTTAAGTAACAAAATGTAAGAAATCTCTCTTATAAACGTTTTATATAAAATAAATAATGTTAAATTCGAATAACTTCTTCATTAAGTTTAAATCATTTAAGATTAACTCAAGCATTCTATTTTCTAAATGATTTACCTGTGACATAATAAATAAAATTAAAATATTATATTTTGGTTATTCTTACTTTAATTTCCAAATATAAAAATAAAATATATTATGATTTTTTATGATTAATAAATTTAATAGAAATAGGAACAAAATGGAGAAATAAGTTAGAATTATAAATGAAGCTTGTTAAAGAAAAATAGAAGAATGCTTATTAAGTATATAAAATTAAGTTGAAGTAATATAATAAATTAAAAAAAATTATAGTCTTCATTCAACAATATAGATGCTTATCTGGATACACTTCTTAATGAGACTTCTGATTCATTAAATATTGTTTCTCATAGATTTCTTGAAACCTCTTAGATTGAATTGCCTTTAACGAAAACATTATAAATTTAAAACTTTGCATCATAATTGTATTAAGACATCTAACCATTAGTCTAAACTAAAATTAAGAATTAAGTATAAATTCAGGAAAAATATTTAAATTAAATACACAAATAATAAATTGAACACCTTAAATAAAACATCGATTAAAAATCTTAAGAATAGAATTTTTAACAAATAAATTAAGACTTGTAATAGCTAAGTACTCAAGTTAACATTCAACAATCATAAACACTTTAATCAAATGATCAACCATTCACTTATTAAATTATCAAAGAATATTCAATTTAATAAGAAAATTGGTGTAGTGCAATAGCAATTAATAAAGATTGTTCAACATTAGTGGCTGGATCTAAATCATAAATTAATGTATTTGAATTTAAATAAGGAATGTTCAAATTAATTTAAACTTTAAGTGAACATAATAATTACGTGATACTTTAAACTTCATGAAATAATCGAATTAGTTTATATCTGGGAGTCGTGATTAATCTATTATAATATGGTAAAAAGATTAAAACAATAAATGGATTTCCAAATAGAAATTAAATGGACATAATGGATATATCTTTTGTTTAGTATTAAATAATAATGAAGATCTAATTGTATCAGGAAGTACAGATAAAAGTATTAAATTTTGGATGAAGAAAAATGAATGGATATGTTAGTAAACAATTAGGGATCATAATGATGAAGTATATTAATTAAGTTTGAATTAA